GCAGCGATGGATAGAACGGTTGGGTTCTGAGACCTGTGCATCAACCCTCCCTCTCTTTCCCAAATGCAATGATTTTAACAAGTAGCAAAATATGTCAATTTTTACATAGGCTTACCTTGTTTTCTCAAAATATGCCCCTTATCAAACAGAGAACGAGCAGTGTCAGAGTGTTCGCCAAACAATTGTTTTCTATAGGACAGAGCTTTTTCGCATGCTTTGAGGGCTTCTTCGTACAAACCAAGTGCTAGGAAGTTATGGGCTAAATGGCTGAGAGCACTGGCTGTGAATGGATGGCGACCAAGATGCTCTTCATAAACCGGTAGGACTTTGCTTTGCCTTATTTGAATGGCTGTTCCATTCGCATCGTTATTATAGCTGTGGGCATCTACAAGACAGTAAGCCGGATCAGGTCAGTAGCCATGGATGGAGAACATGATAACTTGCACCCCATGAAAGCAAAAGGTCCGCGTACAAGAAAACAAAAAATAAAAATTCAGGAAAGGATACAAAAAACGACAAAAAATAATCTTTTTTAGCGACTTCATCGCGATTTTTTTGCGGATAGATTTTGAATCCTATCACTCAAAATCAACTGAATCTTGATAAAAAATTAGTTTACAGTCCAACATTGTTTTTTGTTTTGTGTGCTCATGTCACTAAAGTAATTTGTGAAATGAAACGGAAAGAAAAGTGATCCAATTCGCTGTAAAATGAATAAAAGCTTACTTGCAAGATCATTGTATCCCACTGCCACCATAACGCAATCTTTTGTGGATTTTGATTTCTCGAACACTTCCTCGCGTATTGCAATCCCCTTTTCGACGAATTTCAGCCCTTCGTTCTTTTGTCCTTTCCGAACCAAACACTTGCCATATTTAAGAAGGAACTGAGTTTGGGCTCCCTTGGATACGATCTGACACTCAGACACAAGTTCGAGCTGTTTGCTTAAACTAGCAATCGTCTGATCGTTGTTGCATAATGCCTTCAGAACTTCAGTAAAGCACCACATTGCTTGCTCCAGAGCAATTGGACACAGTTGGGGCACACAGAGACAACCCAAGATGCACGTAACTCCGCCATAAGTCAGACATTCGACGTGCCCCTCCTCTGCACCTTTCTTTGAACCACCGACATCGTCTTTCCCTTTGTTTCTTAGACAAAACCGTGAAAACCTACACAGAATTGTCTTTAACAAATTTGGCTTCATCACCTTGATGTTGACCAAGTAGCATTTCATGAATGACTCAATAATATAGTACCTGAGGCTCTTCATGTCAGGATCTTTCGAGAGTCGATCAGAGATGAACCAATTTGCCATTTCTCTGAGGTTTGCCTCTTGTTTTCTGTATCTCTGGATGGCATTAGCACTTCGAATGCTGAAGAAATCATTTTCAATCTCAAAGAGGCTGTGAAATATGCAATCCAAAAACCTTGAGATAGCATTCTTGTATGTAAGACTCAAAACGGATTCCCTGGTATCAGTTTCAGAAGAGGGTGGCGGTTCCTTTGTTACTTCATAGATTACAAACGATCTCATGGCAGGGCTCAAACAATACTCATTTCGCTCTTGGTTGTAAGATAGGAAGCTGAAGTTCATCAAATCAGTTAGCCCATCCTGAAGTTCCTCCTTGTCCCCAATTAAGCTCGTGAAGATCGTTGCAGCCTCGTCAAGTGTGAAAAATCTGGGTAGCACTGAAATCATCACGAGAACCTTTTGTGAAATGTCTTTCAGACGTTCAAAGCAAATACTAACACAGGGATAAAATCGTTGTTTTGGGCTCATGTCACTCCGACAGACTGATGTTAATTGACGCTCGAGTATTCTAGAGGCGAAACTATCGTCTACACTTGTTTTGACTATGACTGCAGCGTTGCAAATGAGTTGTGGGATATTGCTACAGAAATCTAACACAGCCTTTAACTGATCACTTGAGATATTGGATCTTTCTATTCCATGTACTGACTCGCACCTCCTTAAAAGAAGCTCCTCTGACTCGGACGGAGTTAGTGGTGGCAATTCAACTTGTTTGGCGTTAAGAACGGAGAAAGACTCCCACGTTGTGGCAAGAATTGTCAAATTTGAGGCATATTTCAATAAATCTTCAAGAAACACCTGATATTCCTCTTTTCTGGTTAGATCCTTCCAGGGAAGCCATTTTGGTTTAGACGCGGTTTGTGTTGAACTTGTGCTGTTGTCCATACTGTCTCTTCTCTTATCATCAGTATGGAATACATGATCAAAATTATCCAAAATAAGAAGACATTTTTTGGTGACAGTTTTGAAGAGCTCCTTCACTTTTTCCAGCTTTTGACAAAATGGGTCTTGTATTCCACAAGTACTCAAAATCTTGATAGCGAGGTCTTCAACGGTAAGGATACCATCGGAATCTACATATATACACGTGCATTCATGTTTTTCAATGAGTTCATAGGCTGTTTCAACGGCTAGTGTTTTCTTTCCATATCCTGTAGCAGCATGAAGCACAATCAAATGATTTTCACCATTTACAATCTCTTTAATCAAATCCTCCTTTTCCTTTGCTCTCCCAATCAATTTCGTAGTTGGTTTAGGTAAACCAAAGTTTCTTGAGTCATTTTTAAGAATGTGCTCTGTTTCGAAGAAGATGATAGAAATATACTTTAGATTTGTTAATTTGAATATATCAGATGAATATCAAACTATACTGAGGGTTAAGGTAAAAGCCTCTCGCCAACATTCCATGATGGAAGGGATGGTCAATGATACTTCTCACCGAGCTCACCTATTGTTGTGGTCGTTTCTTGCACACTATTTCCCGGCGGAAGAAGTTGTTCTGAACGGTCTGGATCATCATAAGCATCCTCTAAAAAAGACATTATTCGTGCAAAATATCTTCAAATCTTTATCAGACATTTCAGTGTTAAATAGACGACTTCCGGGATGGGCGGCCGCCTTCAAAAATAGTGAAGGCACGCGCATTACAACGAGCGAGGCGCGCATTTTTGGGAAAATGTTTGAAGGCCGAGCTTCAGAACGCTGCCATAATAAATACCCACCAGCTATATTTTTGAAATCTCCCGAGCATTTGGGAAATCGTCTGTCCAACGATTTTGATTTGTAGAATCAAACATTGCTCTGAGCTAATAACAGATTGATTGAAAATTAAAAAAACTGCTATTTTGGGCATTTCAACTGCACACATAAATGGACGTTTTTAATACCCTGAAATGTTATTCTAAAGGGTTTGAACCATGGATACGGTGAGACAGCCTACCCTTTATATGCTTAATTTCATGCAATTATTTTCTGTATTTTATAGTATTTCATGAATTCATTAACATGCATACTATAGAAATACAGAAAATGATTGCAAACAATTAAGCATGCAAGAGATGGGCCGCCTGTGGTCAACTTGTCCAACCAAAATATCATTCATTGACAAGTTCTTACCAACTGCTCTGGAGTAATGTATAATCAGAATGTCCACAGCATCATTACGATTAATTTCTACACATTTTGCAATTAAGTCACCAATGGTGACATTTGGTTTATTGGCTGAAAGCCATTCAATGATTTTCTTAGTTGGACTGTGAATTTCATGTTGACGTGGTGGCTCCAGCTTTGATATGATGTCTGGGTCATCAATGTGCTGGTCAGCTATCAAATGACTTGCAAGTACCCTCCAGCCTTCCACACCTGGACAATCTTCATTTAGCTTCCTGGAAATTGTTTCAAGAAGTTCTGATCCAAGTTTTAAAATGTCTTGAGCATCCTTGGAGTCAATATCTGTAATTTTATGTCGACAAGATATTAATTCATGACTTAGAAGTTTATTAAAATATTGATAAAACAATATAATAGCGCAGCATTTATGTCTATAATCATATGAAAAATATTTCTGCAATGTGAATAATTTGTTCAATGTTTGATTACTATATTTTACCTCAGAATTAAATCAGGAAATCTATTGAGAAAGCTATATTCTGATTGTGATGTTTAATATCTCAATTTTTACCACTGCAATACTGCGCCAGTTTCGAGATCTTATTTGTGCAGCCTTAGCCTCGAAAGCACGTTATATATTCTTTTTTTAAGCAGATATATCCTATTGTAATGCAAAAAACTCTGTGTACAAAGATTAAGACAATAAAAATTCATCCTTGATTGAATCTAATAACTTGCACAAAAGAGAATTCGAAACTGGAGTATTCGATGGCTTCAATGGATTTATCAAAGAATGCATTTTAAAAAAACTAAAAAGACAAGAAAAAACAATCTGATTTGACTATGTGCTTTCAGTACTTTAGATCTCAAGCAAATATAATTATTACCTGACGCCAGTATCATTTGTTTGATCACTTCAAGGATATCCCATCTATCCATCTTCTCAAAGTAACCAACAATCACATTTGCTTTAACAGTTTCTTTACTTGATGTGTAAACATATCTGAATAGTGCTTCTGTTGGATTGTAGTTAGTGTACATCTCAAATTCCTTCAGTTTGTCACGGGTTATCCCTAGCTCAAGACCAAAATCTATCCACGTACATGTTGGTGCTGAAGCTGAATCAAGCTTCAGTGCCATCTTATCCAAGACTTCAGAAGTAGAATTGGTAATAGCTTCAGATACTTTAGATTCATCTGTCAATTTATCTGAAAATAAACAAAACCAAGTGCATACAGTCAGCTTAATGGTTTTAAGTTGCTTGACAGCTTTGCGGAGTGTTCCTGACGAATTAAACAGGTTTTGTTGCAAAGAGCTTGCACTGACAAATGTTGGAAGTTTGTTCCCTTTAACTTTTTTTAAATTTGTCCAGAAACTTGTTGGGCAGTTATGACAAAGACAACTAAAATTTTTTGATTAACATGGAACAGCCTGTAATTATAGGCTGTAAGTGGTGGCAGAACATTTGATTTTTCCCTCTTTTCCCATGTCAACATTTCTATAAATAAGGAATATTCTATACTTTCATGCGTCCTACCTTTAAGCATTCTGTCTAAATCATTTCTAGCTCTTTCAGGATTTCTTGTTAAGGCAGCACGAAGATCACCAACAGTCATATCAGGCTTTGTAACCTCCAGGTATTTAAACAGTCTTATTGTTGGACTATATTCTAAGTACAGTTTGCATGTACGTATAGTGACCGAAGGAACACCAAGAGCAAACGCAAAGAGTTCCCAGTTTTCGATATTTTTGAACTGTGGATCCATGCATCTTGAAAATTTATCAAGTGCTGCAGGATTGTTATACAAATCTTCAACATATTTAAGCTTATCTTTAGAAGCACCTAAGGAACGAACAATTCGGAAAGTTAAAACCACACTTTATTTTCGCTGTCAGGCTGAGAGCATTTAAAGTTATTAATGCAGACTTTTTGATTTTTCTTTGTTAAAGCATCAATATTTGTTTATCATATTGCTGATACTTCATATTAGATGGACCACGTAAAATCTCAACAAATGCTCGATGGTGCATATAGACAAACATCAGTCGCGAGTACAACAACATTATTATTTGCAGTCTGCTCGAAGTCATGTTGAACGCTGAGAGTATCGCGTCTAGTATCGTTTTGATTGATAATAAATCTGAATTAACTGACAAATTATATTATTAAGGCTTCCCCCCAAAAACATTACTGCTTACTTTTGCTATTTGCCAATCAGAAAAAGATATCTAAGATTAAACTGTGTCGTCTCTTCGCCGTTCTTCACAAACTGTTATCATTGGTGCGCACTATATTTTTTCGCAGTTTACAGTCAGCAAATATCAAAATTATAAAACAAAATCAGAATTGCTGCACAAATCACTAACCTGCCATTATTGTCAATCGCCTTATAGACTRAAAAAGCCATTTTCAAGTTTCTGAATTTTTACATCGCCACCATTCCACGAATCTGAGTTCCAAGAAGCCATCAAAAATATTAACTYCGAATCGGGAAATTTTGACCCATTCGATGACAGTTTTACAATCATATGAAAGTTTTTTACAGCAAGTTTGCTTCTTGCTTCAAACTATATCCGATCAGCTGCTCATTAACAGTAAAGTCAGTCAGCTTCAGTAGAAAGTTTTGACATTCGCAAACGCCATTCGAGTTGTCTTCTGGGGAATAGTCAGTGGTGCATGATGTACAACACGGAAGTTGTTCCACCACAGGAGCCCCACTCTTCAACCATAACATAAATCGACGAATACCTGGCAATCTAAGGTTCATCCATCTTCAGAGATGAAAGAAAACAATTCAAATACACAGTCAATATCCCATTTTTTTAACCGTCCGGCCAATTTATTAAGAAATGAATAAAATGCGTATTCTACCTAGTAGTAGCCTGATTTCCAGACGGGCCTGGATCCGACGCTAAAGCTTTCGTCGGACCCAGGCCCGCATGAAAAATCGGGCTAGTATTCTAGAAGACTAGCAGTAATAATATTTACAATGTACTCTAACTTCGATTATATGAAAGTTCTTTTTCTAGGAAAAAAGTAGTACAACTGTTGCAGAGTAACCGTGATATCRTGTGATTTTCACATACGAAGATATCGCTTATTCATGCGAGTGATTACAAGACAATTCATTTTATTGACAATTATCTACATCATTTGATCGTATGTTATTTATTCCACTCTATGAGAGTGGGTATGATTTTGAAGCACGTTATCCCAAGTCAATCGATAATTTCTTCATCTGTTGGTATATTTTCTCTTCGTGCTCCTTTGCCTCATCGTGTCTTTCTAGACGTGTCAACACGTCACAAATCTCGGAATGGGTTTGAGCTGTCTCTCTCGGTGTGTAGGCAAGTTTTTCACGCATTGCAAGTGAGTTTTGCAAGGACTCTAGCGCTTCTTCGTACAATGTTTTCCGGACATCTGGCTGATCGCACAGAGACGCTACAAAGACAGAAAGAAAGTTTCGTTCTGAAATACACTAAAACTTTCTCTTAGCAAATTTGTAAAATTTATTTCACAGATTTAGCGCGTGAAATRTTATCAGTACAATACTTTTTGTACTTTTTTTTCTATCATACCTTGTTCACTCCTGATACATCCCATATCAAACCAAGAACTTGCTGTTTCAGGATGTTCACCCAACAATTCCATTCTGTTCGTCAAAGCAGTTGCGCACATTTGAATGGCTTTCTCATAGCATTGAAGAGCGTGATAAGAATTTGCTAAATGACTTTGAGCGCTAGATGCGAATGGATGACAAAGCCCAAGATGTTCCATATACACTGGAAGTACTCTGTTTTCACGTAACTCAATGGACTTGTCAGAACTCCCTAGGTAGCTGAAACCACCTGAAGAAATAGAAAAAAAGATCACTATAAAATCAGTTCGAATTAATGACATCAACAAAATTGGTTGAACTTTTTTAAAAACGTTTGGTGGCAGCATCAGTGATATAATTTTTTTTTTTCATTTGGCTGTTTACTATCAAAAAGAGTACATACATGCCAGATCGTGATAACCAAGTGCAACCATGACATTAGTCTTTGGACTGGATCCGTTCTTCGTGCGAATCTGACTTCGTTTTTCAATTCCAGTTTGAATAAATGCCAACCCATCATCCAAACCACTTCGAGCTATACATTTGCCATATTTAACAAGCATTTCTGCTTTCGCTTCTTCAGATATAATCGTACATTTGACAATGGTTTCCAGATCAGTAATGCTGCGTTTGGTTTGAGAGCGACGGCGGAATACTTTTTGTAACCATTTTCCATTAGGTGTGGTACTTGAACTTTCTCTGGACATTGCATTGACTGCCGACTTGAAACAAGTCATCGCTTTCCAGAGTGCAAACGCGCAAAGTTTTGGCTGACAGTGACAGCATTTTACAAACGTTGCACCAGAATAGATCAAGCTTTCAATGTAATACCTGGAGTTGATAGGTTTGCAATATTTAGCAAAGCTACGGGTGATGATCTTCAATAGATGGGGTCTCATCAACTTCATGATCCAATAACATTTCGCAAAGGATTCAATAATGCTCTGTTTAACGCCTGGAGACACTGGATGACTCTCGGAGATGCACCAACGCGCAATTTCTCTCAGGTTTTCTTCCTGATCTCTATACCTTTGTATGGCATCTCTACAATCACGACTGAAAAAGTCTCTTTCAATTCCAGAAATGACTTYAAAGGTGTGATCCGCAAACTTTGATAGAGCATCTTGGTGAATGCGCTTCCTTGAATCTGTTTCATCCGCAATGTGGATGACAAACGACCGGATTGCAGAAGACATGTAGTATTTCTCTCCGACTTGTGAAAGAAAATTGAATCTTCTCAACGTTGTTAACGCTCGTTCGAGCTCATCATTACCTTGAACAGTGTCTGTTAAGACGGCCCCAGCAATCTCTGTGGAAAAAGGCCCTGGGAAAACTGACACATTCACAAGCACTTTCTGGGTGATTTCTTCAAGGCGGCTGAAACAGACCCCAAGACAATAGTTGAAGTGCTCTTCGCAAGGTAAATCATCCGGAGATAATTTTGTAGTTAGCTGTTCCAGTGGACAAGCAACCAGTTTATTTGCACCTTCATCAAATGACCCAAAACTTTCAATGAAAGTCACTGCAGAGCAGAGAAGCAAAGGAACGTCACTACAGCATTTAACAATTTCACTGACAAGATCGCCGGATATACTCGATTCCTCAATTCCAAGAACAGACTTGCATTTGTGCAAAAGAAGTTCTTTCGACTTTTCAGGTGACAGAGGGAGCAATTTCGTTTGCTTGGCGTTAACTTTCGTGGTGGTTAAGGACTCCCATGAAGTGGCAAGAACTGACACATTTGGAGCACTTGCTGGCACAGACTGTATAATTTCTATTAAGAAATTCTGGTATTCATCCTTTTGTGAATTGCTCCCATCAAACAGAGGAAGTGCTGAGCGTTTCCTTTCTGGGGTTTTGTTTCCATCACCTGGTATGTCACTGGACGTGCCTGGAATGTCACTGGACGTGCCTGGGATGTCACTGGACGTGCCTGGAATGTCACTAGACATTACTGGAAAGGTAGAAGAATTGTCTAAAGCAGAGGACATTTCAGGAAAGCTTGTGGAGATGTCAATGGATGTTCTTGCAGTATTGGAGTTCATTCCAGGAAAGCTTGCTGACAAAGAGGGGACAGCAGAAGAAGACATGCCTGGAGAGCTGAGACTGCCGGTGCTACTGATCGAGTCATTCAACTGTGCTGTATCATTCGCATGGAACATGTGGTCAACGTTGTCCACGATAAGAACGCACTTTTGGTTTAAATTCTTGAAGAGCATTTTTACCCTATCTTTCGCTCCCGTGTTAGGAGCTGGAATTCCACAAGTTGATAAGATCTTGACAGCAAAGTCTTCGAGGTTAAAGACACCTTTGGAATTTATATAAATGCAAGTGTAACCATGGGTTTTGATGAGCTCATCGGCAACGTACAACACTAGTGATGTTTTACCATAACCAGGGGTAGAGTGCAGAACAACCATCTGGTATTGACCACTTGAAAGATATGACACCAACTCGTCTCTTTCTTGCACCCTTAGCATACATTCTGCAGTTGATTCAGGTAAACCAAAACGACGTCCCTCACTTTTGAGAATGTTTCCTTCATTAACAGAAAYAACAACGATAAGAAGGTAAGAAATATAATTTTTAAACTAGGACAATAGTCAACTTTAGATATTTTGATTCGATGACTATGTACAAAAGAACACACACGAGGCTCCGAGAAAACAATGGATAATCTTGATTTATTCATTTAAATCCCCGGAGCATCGTCTGCAACTCTTTTGTGCATGGTCACTGAACTAAAATAACTAAAGTCGGCTATTAATACGCTTATCAGCTTTAGCTACGCAAAAATGTTGAGATATTTATTGTTCTTCAATGGATGACTGTTCTTAACTTTAAAATCTAATGTTGTTCCATCCGACACCAGTTTAATGACAAAATGTTTCCATCGTAGTGTAGTTAGCTCTAGTGTACGTTTTGTATAGTAATTCATGTGAATACTAAAGTTGTAAATGTGCATTTGAAAATTTAAAAAAATAATAATTTAAAAAAAAATGTTTCCATCTCACCTTTCTCTGAAGTTTCTTGGATGCTATAGCGCAATGAAGAGGGAGGGCTATCTTCTTGAACATCAAAATAGGAAAATTCTGAAAAGAATGAAAAAAGAAATGTGAAAATTCATCCTATTCATACAGTGCCTCAACACTGTGCTTTCGGTATATGAAGGGGCATGTGTAGGGTGTGGTTCCAAGGATTCTGAAACACCCCTTCATGGCAGATAGAGTCTTTCAAGTAGTCTTCCAATTATGAGATATACTTTACAAGAAGGGTATACATTTTTGGATAGTCCAACAGATTGTTCAGTGCGAATCTTAAACTACAGTACTCTTGCAACCTTGGAACTGAAAAACAAACTGGAACCTTTTCTCATGAGACCCCTGCAGATGCCCCTTATATAACATTGATGCAATTTTGACAGTAAGCAGAAAGCATGCTGAGACATGCAAGAACCAATCACAGTGCAAATAATCTAAGAGAGGTAGCATATTATTTACCTAATGCCCTGGAAAATCGTTCCATGAGGACTTGTATGGCATCAGAACGCTGGATTTTCTTACAGGCTCCAACAACATCAGCAAGTTTTGTTTTGTGCTTATTAGCTGCTAACCATTCAATGAYTTTCTTAGTTGGGCTGTGGATTTCATGCAGAATTGGTGGCTCCAAGCTGCGAATGAKGTCAGGKTCATCTATATATTGGTCAGTCATMAGACGACGTGCAATTCCCCTCCATCCTTCCAAACCTTGACATGGTTTATTTAGCATCTTTGAAGTCTTATCRAGAAGGTCTGATCCAAGTTTCAAGATATCCTTGGCATTGTTGAAGTCTAAATCTTTTAAACATTAACAATATAGATTGTCATTGAGTTGTTTTTGCAAAATTTTACAATATATTATCATGAGGATTTTTTGAAAAATTTATTACTAATATCCAGGGAAAGTGTTATTCACAGCCTCTATTAACCTTAACTACATTAGTTGTACCCAACCCTCACAAAAAAGGGAATTTAACAAATCAAAATCGATTTTCTATGGTCTGTACGCGTATCGACAATGAAAATGACGTCAGAAAATGATCAAAACTCAAGTGGAACCACAAGCATAGCGAGTGGTTTCACTGYCAATTTTTTTACCATAACAAAGCTGAAAACAAAGTAAAACTTTCAAAACAAAATCGTTTCTGGCGCGCGCTGGCTCCGTGCGCGAGCGATTCGTCATTTCATCGGTCTGTCCTACGATCGACAACGGCTCTCGACCAATCAGCGCGCGAGAATTCTACAAGGTATGTTARAAAAAAATTATTATACCTGTTGGGTGTGTTGCATTTCTAATTTCTGTAAGTACATCCTCTCTCTGCATCTCCTTCAGGTAACCAACAATTACACTTGCTTTAACAGTTTTTTTACTTGTTGCATACAGAAATCTGAATAGTGCTTCTGTTGGATTATAGTTGTACATTTCAAACTGGTGGAGCTTTTCACGTACAATACCAAGTTCCAAACCAAAGTCCATCCAGTTACATGTTGGCCTGCTAGCTGAGTCAAGTTTCAAGGCAATCTGATCCAAAATACATGCACCATCTGTAGAATTGGTAATAACTACAGATACTTTATCGCCACTCTTAAACACTGAAAGCGAAATGAATGAGAGCATAATTACATCTAAATCCTTGRCAATTAACCAGAAAGGATGAATCAGACCACATAATTAAGCTCAATATAAATATTTGACAATCCATCATTACATACACTCTTGTGTGATTTTACAAAATTAATTGAGAAAAATCAACATCAAACAAGATTAGAAAAAAAAAATGATGAACTCGGTTTGACAGACTTCAAACAGCTTGACTGGTCAAATGTACGTAATACAATTCATTATGGGTTGCTCAAGAACGCCACTTCATTGATCTAACAGTTTTCTTTATTCTGGGACATAAGGTATTATATTCTAACACAATTCCCACCTTATTTTTACCCTYTCTCAAGCCTTTTCTCACTTGAACTTAATGAGTATTATTATTGATATTACAACTGTACCTTCAAGCATAGCTTTGATATCAGGTCTTGCTCTTTGTTGATTTCTTGTTAATACATYTAGAAGTTCATTAATTGTCATATCTGGCCTGGTTATAGCCAGATACTCAAACACTTTTATCGTAGGACTGTGTTCTAAGTAGAGCTTGCATGTACGTATCACATATGGGGGGACACCCAAGGTAAATGCAAAGTGTTCCCAGTTCTTGAGACTTTTGAATTGTGGGTCCAAGCATTTTGAAAATTCTCCAAGGGCTGTTGTGTTATCACGCAAATCTTTGACGTAAATCAATCTTAAGGTTGTACCTGTGTTGATTTTAATTAAAAAAGTAGATGTAGAAGATGCAAGATGAGTGTTATTATCTAATCCAAACAACCAATAGCACTAATTACTACTGAATGATTGTACTAATTTTAGGTTTCATGGGTCAGAGTGAGGTCATTATTCAAACTCGTGAAACAAAATTTGACTGTTAAGTGTGATTAGTCAAATAACACATAAGAATTCAAGTAATTTATTAGAATACTAAGGTGTAGTGTAATGTCTATTCCACAGATTTTTTGCCTTCACTGTTCATGCATTGACTCTCAAAACTACTGAATATTGTTTAGAATTACTGTTATTTTAAGCACCCACTTCACAGATTTAATCTGGATATTATGAAACAGGATGCAAAGAATGAAATTTGTTGATCTTTTAGCTTAAGAGTGTGGAAAGTGCAAATTAGGTGCAGAGTACAAACACTAGACTGTGCAACACAACCTTGCATAATGGGTGAAAAACAATAGCTTTTGAGATTAGAAGGGATTAAGAAGAGACTAAGATGTTGCTCTTCGTTGTTCTTATTCTTGGTCTTAAGCTTACTGTTTATATCTTTATATTTCTAAGTTTTACTCTGCACACTTGACTTCATTCTTTTGTCTTATTATATTCACTCAGCTCATGCCTATGCTTGATATGCCTATGTCCTAGTGAAAACCAGACTATAAATACCACTAAATGCTGCTAAATTATACTAATTCTATTGTTCAAATAGCACTCAATTAGCAGTATTGAATAGAGCAAAGCAGAGTTAGTAGAGGGGACTGTCCCTTCTGCTGACTTTGAGCAAAGTGTTGCAATATCTGGACCGGATCAGAATAATATTCTTTACAAGCACTTGTAAAATATATACAAACAAGAAAAACACGCTGGATAAATATAGACATAGATAGGGATATCTATATATATATATAGGTGTCAAACCTATTAAACTTGTGAAAAATGACATTTTTATGGAGGAACTAATCAGAGATGCAGTGATCTCTCGTGTATTAAAATCTTAATTTTCAAGAAGGTAATAAATGTTCAGGTTAAGAGCACTACTAACCTTGTTCCATCTTTAATCAACTTTGAAGAAGCTATAGGACTTGAATAAACGAAGAAGCCAGTCAGAAGAAGCCATTTCGAGGCTATACAATTTTTACACAGTCACGATTCCGCGAATTTGTCAATGAAAGTTCCGGGAATCGAAGTACATAGATACGAGAGCTGTTCTAATGCGTGAAAATGAGTTAGAAATCAGTTTTTTCTGACTACATTACATATAAAATGCAGTCAGAAAACTGTCCTTTACTGGGGGCTTGAGTATCATTCCATTCTCTTTTCGGTTCTGAGAAATTATGTGCGTCTGTCTTATGGTAGAACTAAGGGTGCTACAGCGCGGTACCGCAGAATAGAACTGACACAGGGATCCCACTTGACCACAGCCACATTTCTCGTTCGGTAAATACAAACTATATTATAAACTTGACAAATCTGATTTAATGTTTATTCTATTCCTATTAAAATTCTAAAGCCCAAAAGTGTTTTTCTTTAAATGAACACCAAATACAAGATTTTTCTTCTCGGTGACGCAAAATTCTATATTTAGAATTAATTCTGAGAACTGGGGAAGTCCCTTGATCACGTGACTTTCCGGGAATCGTCCTCTCGGAAACAATTTATAGAGATGGGTGTCGGTGAGAGTTTTATTTGTGCAAATTTTGATTTGTAAGATCAACTTGGCCGATGGAAGAACAGCATAAAGATATCTTAAGGAGACACCGTGTACTTTTACGAAGAGAGATAAGCGCGGAAAAGTTGGCAATAGAGCTCTTTTCTGCAAACATTTTCGACGAAGAAGACCTACATGAGGTAAACGGAGAGAGAACACCCGAGCGACGAGCAGATACGTTGCTGAGTAAGATTACTCGTAGAGGCCCTGGTGCATTTTCTTGCTTTTGTCAGTCGCTAAAGAATCATAGGCAAGATTTAGCTGACAAAATTCTAACTCCATTCTCGGGTAAGTATTGTTCCTAGGTGTTGACACAACATTGTCCAGTTCATTTAGTTCCGGCAGAAAACTGTGGCAATTAGTAAAAAAATTTCTCCTAGAACCACTTAGATATCGTTTTAAATGCTCTGTTTGTAAAAAAAGAAAACTATTGTACAATGATTTTGAAAGTGCTAAGTTATTGTTTGCTGGTAACCATGTGAAGCTTTTGCTTTATAAAGTTTTAGAATATATCACGAATTGATTATAATTAAAATTATATCCAAACGGCTGTAAATGATCAAATAACCAGTCCAACTGATGAGGATATACTTCGTAATATATACAATATGAGCGGGCGATCTGTATGAGGATTTAAAACAGCGAGCTGAAAGCGAGCTGTTTTAAATCCTCATACAGATCGCACGCGAATATTGTATATTACTTATGAAACGTTAAGGTAAATTAGCTCAGGTTTTAAAGAAACTTTTGAAAAAAAATTCAATCTGACTGAGAAAATCAGAGTAAAAGTTTATGCAAATGAACAAGAAATCTGTATGTAATATACAACTCTCTTTATGGGCTATGATTTCTATTGTGTTTTGCCTTATGAATATTAATGAGTTTTATAATTTTACGAAAAGATTTTAGTGTTAAAAACATAATAAGAAAATATTTTAAATATCTGTTCAATACTTTTCCTTACCCCACCCACTCCCAGGTGACTTTGTACCTTGTGTGTTTCTATAGCAATGAATTGTTCTTGTGTGATCAGTCCAATCTCTAAATGTTTTGAACTACAACAATATGCAGAAATTATGATCATTTTGACTCATAACCAGTATATAGTAATAACTGTAAAATTTTGATTTTAATTTTTTAGAAATGAGTTTACAAGAAGGGGAACACTTTGCTGCAGCCGCCTTGCCATGTTACCCCAATAATTTTACAGGGCGCATCGAGCTACGCAAGGAGGTCATATCAAGAGTGAATGAAAACTACAAACTCTTACTTCTTGTTGGACTTCCTGGTTATGGCAAATCATCTCTTGCTGTTGTTGTTGGCCATACTTTGAATGAAAATGGCTTTCAAGTMTTGTACTTTGAACTYAAGGACATMACAACAATGTATGGAGCSTCAGTWTTGATGTTAGAGATCCTACAAAGAGTACCTTCCAATGATCCTGTCCGTCAGATTCTYAGYTTCCTTAGATTTCAGCTTCAAAAGAAAACTCTYTTGATCCTGGACAACACTGAAGACCTGCAAGAGAAAGAAAGTAATSAGTTTTTCCAGTTTTTAAAGGARTTAGGCAAGTTTTCCAAAAATGTTTGCACAATTGTCACTACAACAGAGGCAATTGGCGGACTTAAGCTTCTTCCTTTCCAAGCAAAGTCATTTCCCCTGSAACCTCTACTTGACAGGGAGTGTGTGGAGCTGTGGARGAAGCTGAATCCTGAAAGCCCAAGCACTGAGCATACCTTTAACATTGARCAGTTATGCAAAGCATGCCAGGGAATCCCATTGTTTATTGAAGTGGCAGCATCACAAGCAGAACACATGGAAGACATTGTGCCCTTGATAAAGGAACTTCAYTCCAGTCCAGAGGTTCTTCTTCAAAAGGAAGAAAATATGGMAGCCAAAATGAAAGTCTTTCTGTCCCGTGTTCCTCATGATCTGAAAATGACCTTAGCAAAGCTGGTAGTCTTTCCTGGTGGCTTTTCATACAATGAAGTCAAGTTTCTCTTTGATGTGACTCATGATTTCCCACTCCGTGACAGATTGGTGAAGCTAAGTAATTACTCCTTGGTGAAGTTTGACAAAGAAACAGCAATGTACAAGCTACATAATGTAGTCCAATCTGCCATAACAAAAGCAAAGCTAGATGATGCTATGTATCAGGAGTACAATCTAGCTGTTCGCCAATTTGTAGAGTATTACATGGGTATTTTACAGGAGCTAAATGCCCAGTTCCTCAGCCATGACAACATGAAAGCCCTCCAGTCTTTCTTGGAACAAAAGCGAAACCTTCTTCACGCCTTCACCCTTGCCATTGACTATAAACTTGTGCTGGCAGTAGATGTGTCTACAGAAGTAGTCAACCATTTGGCCAAATGTCTTAACATAAAGGAGTTTATTAATGTCTATGAGGGAATGGCTGAACTGGTTAAAGATGACGACAAGCGCTACAGCGACTGCTTGACATCATTGGGCTTCATGCATCTTTGCTACCATGGCAGAGAAAATACTACCACAGCAGAAGAATATCTTGAGTCAGCTTGTGAACTCCAACGACAATGCCAAAATGTTCACACAACAGAGGGAGCCCATGCTATGAGCAAGCTTGGCTTATGCAAAGCCATGTCAGGACAAATTGAACTTGGAGTGCAACTGATTGTTAAGGCAATTATTATAAGAAAAGAATTGCTTTCCAGAGAAGGAGGAACCATAAGAAAGATGCTGTTAGCTGGTGGATACTGTGACCTTGCAAGTGAGTATTCATTAAGATTTTGCAAGAACATTCATGTCAATTATAAAGAAAATTCAACATGATCCACAAACACAACGCCCAAAAAGTAAAGGCAATTGAACTTGCTTAAAGTATTATATTGTATTTAATCCACAGTGGCCATTTCTCCCTATAACATTAAAGCCGCAGTAACAATCTGGGAGCAAACATGCTTAAAAGATTACCAAGAAACCCTGAACACCCACGCATTCACAGCAACACTGTTCCAGTACATTGGAGATGGCTACCACAAGCAAGGCAAATTTGCACAGGCAGAAGTGTGGAAGCGCAAATCCCTTGATATGCGCAAGAGTCTTCTTGGTGAATACCATCAAGACACTGCACGTTCATATTCCTCCCTGGCACTCACTTTAGAAGCACTTGGACAGCCAGCACAGGCACTGGACATGTGGTCGACGACCAGGCATATCCAGGCAAAAGTGTTAGCCTCACCTGAAGACATACAGTGTACAAACAACGAGATTRAACGGTTAAATGACTTGATAAATCATGGGGTAGGTAGGTAGAAGTTCTATACCAATTTCCAGACTGGGTATTTTACAGACAGTGTTATATGTCAAATGCCATTCATCTAAAGAGAGCTTTGAAAGCAAACGAATCAGAGTGAGAAATTCACTTGGTTCTATTCTCTTTCCTAGCTTGTTGGCTGTGAACTTAGTTGTTTTGCCAAATTGAAAAAAGAAAATGTTTAGCAAGTGTAAATATTTTGTATCATAGCATAGTGAACAGCCACAAATGTTCTAAAAGCTGTGATGCAAATGATGTGTATACTTAGTACAAGTATTGGCAAAAAGCTAGGATTTGTGTACAATTAGTGTAAAAAAAGATTATAATATATACGTGTACTCTCACCTAATTGAAAAATACTTAGTCAGGCTCAAAATGCTTACACCAGTGGCAAAGCTAAGATGGATCAATATTAATCATACATTATTCTAACTTACCAATAGTTAGACAGGTTATACCAGGAGGTTTTGTGGGATCATGGACAGCAAATGGTGCATCATTTTTGTGTAGAATAGTGTCAGTTATACTTGGTATCTTTGCACTGTCTTTGGTAGGATTAGGCTTCCTGGACGACACATCAGTCATGTTAATGAAACTATAAACAGGTTTATAGTGTAGTACCATCTTGATATCTGTGAGATCTCAAAACAACCAATCCACTATGGTATTAACTATACATGTATATAATATGCATTTTTGTAGAGATAGAGTAGGATAATATTCTTCATAACGATACGTCAAAGTGACTTACAAATGATTATTTTTGTTGTGTAATTATTACTTTTTTAGTAGGATGTTCGTCTAGTACTTTAAACAGGGTCTGTGCATAGTATCAAAAACAAAATTTAAGGACTTTTCAAAGACCAAAATTGTATTTTCAAGGAACATCATAATGATCATGCTAATTTTACATTCTTACCTCAAAACTTCAGCTAAACAGAATAATTCAGAGATTGCTAGCACTTCCTGATAGAGATCCATCTTTTTTAAGGAGTTTTCAAGAACTTTTTTGAAATTTTCAAATTTTCAAGGAGTTTCAAGTGCCCTTGAAAACTTTTCAAGGATTTAAGGACCTGCACAGACCCTGTTTAAATTTATAAAACTTGCTTATGAGATAAGTAATTTTAATTTCAAAATGTGCGTTTTACCAACGAAAGTCATTCACTAACAGTTTGAAATACATCATTACAAAGGGACAAATGCTTATATCAATACAATTGAAAGTAAATGTGCTGCCATCTGTACACCTGACCTTCATCAGAATGAAATAATTCCTAGATTAAAATGATAAAGCTCAGTTCTACATGAAACATGAAAGACTAGGGACATAAACAGAGGTATTTTAAAAGTAACATTCCATTATTCTTTTGAAGAGAGATTTTAAGCACCACGCATTTTACTCCCATCAGAAGACATTATATACAAAGTCAAATACAGTTAGCATGAAAGAAATGCTATTTTAAGTATCGACAATGAGATTGTGTTAGTCAAAGTATTTATTAACAGAATTACACATAGGCTAGATTGATATCCATTTGTTAATATTATATGTATTACAGCCTTTTGCAATAATTATGAGAATTGTTGAAATATCTAAATATCATAATATCGAGTGCATGATGGGTAATCCYRCGCGATGCCCTTAGTCCCTTGTCTTTATAGTTTAGTTTTTTTTTGGCGACAGACTTATCCGTAGTTCTGAACATTTTCTCGATGTCAACAATGAATTATTCTAGCAAACCTGCGTGTTCCGGACAATATATGGATATGGATATTATGATATTTAGATATTTAGACAATTCTCATAATTTTTGCAAAAGGCTGTATATAGTATAGTATGGTAAAACCATGTAAATGTGTCATACGCATAAAAGATTGCACAAGAAATAAAAAGACAACTTTGTTACAAACTTCTTTCTTTGTTTCATTACTTTCTTTTTCATTTTTTCACCTTTTCTTTTTCCATCCCTTCTTTCCTTTACAATCACAGAGATTAGTAATTATTATTGAGCAATTATACCATGCCTGTTTAGGAGAAATCAACCTTTATGATAAATGATAAATTCAACAATATAAAAGAGAAATGTAACCACAATTATTGTGCCATGGTGCTTTGCTTGTCAGAGTACAGAAGATGACAAACAAAGGACCAATGTCACCATGTACAGATATTCATTCTTTTTGCAGTTTTACTTAAAATTTGTCAGTTTTGTTAAAACTGATCCATGCACTCCAGTTGAGGTAATGAACGTAATATAATAATCATTTGCATAGGCACTGAACCATTGCCCTTTTTTTCAGGTTCAGTTCTTCATCTTGACAGTGTTTCAAACAAGTGGATTCACTCTTCCTTAAGCTATATATATACACCTACTTGCGAAAACGTTGTCATAAAAAATAGGACATTTGTATTTTAGTAAAAAGGAATAAATTAAAAAGACAAAAGAAGATCACTGAGGCTGAACGCTTTCTTTTGTCTTGTTTTAATTTATTCCTTTTTACTAAATTCAAATGTTCTATTTTCTATGACAACGTTTCTGCAAGTAGGTGTATTTCCTTTTCAAATGTGTAGTATCAGAGTGTTCACAGTTTCAGAAATACCACAGCAAATCCCCCAATGTAAAAGCAAAAATCTTGTCATACGTTCTTGACACTGTAAAAATGTTGTATTGACATTGCAAGAATTTATAGTTTCACTCTACCATCCACTTTGTAGTGCACTGACGCTTTGTTTGACATCATCTTTTTTCTCACGTCTAGCGCGAGTCATAGCACCTGCTTCCCCTTTCTTTTTCCTCCTTGAGGCTTGTTGTTTTTTCATTAGACTCTTCTTGACCCTTTTTCTTACTTCGACAGCATCAAAAGATGTTGAAGCTGTACTTTCCACTTCTACATCCATTGTAGCTTCAGATAAATTATCTGTTGCATCTCGGTATGGACGGTGGGACCTATTTAGGTTACTTAAGTCCTCTAGATCTGATTCATCACTATTTGACTGCTGATTGTGCTCCTCTCTTGATACTATTGACGTTGATATACTTGACATTAATGAAGGTGCCTCATTTGATGCCGCTGACRATTGTATTGTTGACATTTCAGTTCTTGTTTCAGCGTTACATGTTATATCAACTTCTTTGCTATCACACTCAGACTTTTCCAATATTTGCTCTGAAGAATCATCATCATTTAGATTTTCACATTGAAATTGTTCTGAAATATTCTCTGTTGACTCTTGTTCAGTATCTTCATCCATTGAGCTGTCGTCATCCAAATCTTCATCCTCATTTTGCTTTGATTTGCGCATCTCTTCAAGATCAGCTGCTGCACCCTGTGAATTTAAAATACAATTCTCACAACTTCAACGATTGTTATTGTACATGATGATAGTGAACAAAATTTACTGCTATAAACAATTGGGGATTGTTTGTCACTGGCTTGTTTGGTAGTTGATAAACAGTTTACCACAATTAAATGTAGTTTCATACCTCCTCTAGTGACTTCTCCATTTCCTTTGTAAAACCACTCGCAGCTATTTCCACATCAAGGCTTCTTGCTCGTCTGCAATAGAAAAAATGTCACTTTCTATTTCTTGATAGAATATAATTAAATAAAATTATGATATTAATTCAACTTACACAACATCAGAGAATTTAKGGTAGTTTTCACTCTCAAAATTAAACCGGCGCAGGAAAAAGTCTCTTATGCATTGTACATCTCTATCAAAGTACCTGAAAAATATCAATCATTTTTTTTCAACAACACCTAATAATAATGCAGAACTTATAACAATTCATTCTTACCACTCTGCATTCAAATGTGATGTGGACACCATTTGCGGAAAATCAATGACGGTCGCCTCGTCTTTGTCATTCAATATCAAATTGAACTCGTTGAAGTCACAATGAATTAAACCGAAGCTGGACAGACGGACAATCAATTCCATCAAGTTACCAAACACAGTACCAGGCTTTTCAAGATGGTGAATTTGACAACTACAATAAAATTTAATTTTGTAATTCGTTAACTAGTTACCCTACAGACACATTATTAACCTTACATCCTTTGTGATCTATGGAGGTAAGGTAAATAACATATATAATTATTGYATACTTACAGTGGATAGCCATCGACAAGTTGCATGACAACAGCATGTCTGTTAAAGTCCACAGGTTTTGGGACAGGGTACCCATTGTCATATAATGCCTAGAGTAGCATTTGACTTTGTTATCACTGTAGTTCATTATTATCATTATATATATTGTAAAAACAATCACTGTCAAGATTGCCGTCATTATATTCTACAATATATTCCTTGGCATTTGATGCCACTGAAGATGGTCAAGTTTTCTTTACAGAGTGACCTTCTTAATGGTTCAAATTAGCCTTGAAATAGCAGGATCAATGTAATATCGAGTTTTTTTATTACAATGTCTTTGGAAGTCTCTAGCCTTCATTATTATTAGCTTTCATATTGTAAAAATATCACATCATCGCTATTATTTGTGACAGCTGTCAATTACCTTGAGATATGCATATTCTTTCATTGCCGCCAGACGAGAGAGGTAAAGCCAAGAAGCACTTTGTCTTTTCTTCAAATAGTCTCTCTTTTCTTTAAGTTTTCTAAACGACGTTCTTCCTAATCTGGAGATAAAATTCATTGCCCTCTTTAGTGTTATTACATTGAAGAYCCAGAGCTACTGACTAACAAACCTATGAAGCTTTAGAGCAAACTGATGCCCTTCTTCATCAGCCACAATGTAAATATCTGAAAAATAAATAGCAAGTTAGCACTCATCAGATGAAATAGTTATTGTGAAAACTGGGACCACATACCAGATTCTTTTCCCATACCAATCTGATTGCCGACAGAATGGATGACATCACGAGCAGCGAGGGCTTTCAGTGATAAATAGTCATAACCGGCATACGTTAACTTATATCCTACAACTGAAAAAAAATAATAAAATATTAAGTGAAACTTACTTCATGTACAAATATTATTAGTTGTAATTTTTCTTATTATAAATAAAATGTTTTGATATTTAGTTATTTTAACTGAGAATGATATTGAATAGCAAAATATATAAARAAGCTTTAATTGTGCCCCCCTGTGCCAAGATATTTTGTTTCCTCCAAGACAACACTGCCATTGTATGGTGGTATTTATGAGGTGAGCAGTCTCCCTCCATCGTGAGAAACACAGGTAGCCCAAGAGAGATAAGAAGAGGCCACCAATCATCATCATCATAATTTTCATCATTGTTAATTGGTGTAGGTAAAGCAATTGCACAGTAAACTACCATCATTATTACAATAATTTCATTTTTACGAACCTTTTCCATTTTCATAAGCAACAAGTTTATGTTTGACTAGTTCTCTTAGTATCTTGTAACAGCCGCCATGTTTCAGAGCTGCAATGGAGGCCACAAGGGCTGGGGGAACAACTTCATGGTTCTTCATTCCCATTTCCACCTGAAAACATTGAAAAAAGTTAAAAATATTTGAAATCTCGTCGATTTTTTGGCGAAGGTTCTAGTGTTTTTTGGGGTGCTTCTCTTAGCTTAATTGAAGCGAGATGGATTTCAGTTGAATGTTACATTTTATCTACCATTATTTGACATTTCCAAAGCATAAAAAAGCAATTCAGAAATTCTTACCGCTGTCAATACTCGGAAATCCTCCCTTGTGAGGTATCTAAGAAGAGAAACGTTGAGTTTCACCATTATTGCTYCAGTGTGTGTGACGAAACAACGTGGTTCCTCGGACACAGGAAGCCCAAAACATCAATAGYCAAAATGAATTATAGATACCATCTGAAAGAAAAGATATCCTCTAAAACTATTGAATGATACGTACGATTTTGAACTTTTTCTTTGTGCAAATATTTTTTATTAATTTTAAAATCTTTTTTCAAGATTTCTATTGATAAGCAATCAGACTACCTGTGCTATCACGTGACCACAGTTCCTGGAAGCAACAACAAAGCAAATATTCAGAATGATCGTGAATTGATTTTGAATGTKTTTTGACAACAATACATCGTGTTTGATGCTTGAAGCAGGGATACTTCTTTGCACCTAAACAATGTTTGTGTGAGGGTCCAACACGTTCAGCAGTCAAACCAGTGGACAAGCTGGAATCCAGTCGCTCCGTGAGCCGAGGGGATTCCCGACCGAAACCGAAACTAAAAGAAGAACATTGAGAGGCACAACTCTTTATGGCTTTATATGTCTATACCTAATAGATGGGCAGTCAAGAATTCCGACACTTTCTAGTTTCGATAGCAGACGAAATCACTGACGATGATTTGAAATGTTTAAAGTTTTTGTGCAACGGGAAAATACCCAATGGAAAGTTGTCAACGATCAATAAGCCTATCGAGTTGTTCGATGCTTTGATTAGACGCCCTGTAAGCAAACAAGATACAAGATTTCTGGTAGAGATTTTAGAAAGTGCTAAACTAGAGAAATTGAGTGAAAGAGTAAAAGATTATAGCGCTCAAGGTAAGTTTATAAGTAAATCATCTCAAGTTGCGGCATTATGCAAAGTCGTAAAAAATCCTCATTGATATAAGATACATCTATCCTAAATACACGTATTATTTTTTTTAATTGACCAATTGATTAAAATTAGTTTAAAGAATGAACTTAATTTGAATGTAAAATTTTCCATGGCTGCATGTCAGCGGTATGCCGACGCCAGCAGACTCTTGGGGAATCCACACACTATTGCCCTATCGCATAATTACGTCACACCAAACCAGAGGGGATCAGAGCGATTGCATATCAAATAAAATGTAGATGAGATATCATTGACAAATGATACAAATCAAAACTCGAATACACTAAAGTGAGCGTAAAAGCACAAGTGATGCAAAAAATTTTAAAAATAACACAACACTTTTAAATTTCAAAGACATGGTTCCACTTTCATAAAGCCATMTTCAGTTTGAATGTGATTACATTTTACAATCAGTTATATAATAGTTATATTTTTTTTATAATTTTTAAAGAATACACTAAAGTTATGCTTTCGAAAGGAATATTAATAGGTCCAARTTTCGAGTCTTTCTGAGCATGACTATCCACAATGTAAACATACTGTGACGTCATTATGCCATAGGGCAATTATGCAAATTAGGTTAATGTTTTTTTTCCTGGTTATAGAGATAAACAACAACAACAAGTATTTTTCACAATTCCATTCATCCTAGTATCACTTCCTCAAACCTCTCACTGCTAGMTATATATATTATCACCAACAGCTTTCTCTTTGCGTTGTGCCCATGTCAGCCCCATCTTTTCCCCTAAAATCAGCTCTGGTTTTCAACTGTAATAATAATTGACTTGCTGTTATTTCAGATGTCAACCATAATGCAGAAGAAYGTCCAAGTAAACATGGCCTACCAAATAAAAACCATCATTTTGTTGGCCGAGATGCTGTTGTCCTTTCAATAGCCAACCTATTAACAGTGAAAAACAAASGAATGGTTGTAATTTTAGGACCACCAGGTCGTGGCAAATCTACTCTTGTCAGTCACATTGGACATGACTTGTACAAAAAGCAAAAGTCTGTCATCTTTGTTTCTCTGAGGCAAATCACAACAATGGAYCTCTTATGTACATCCATCTTGAAAACTATTGACTCAGGCTGTTCAAAGAGTGACAATGTGRTTGAACAGGCMCAAAATTTGCTCACTTCCTTCAGAACWCMAACAGTTCTTATCCTGGAYAACTGTGAAGACTTACAAAARTCTCCATCTTGTTSTGACTTTCAAAMTTTCATTGAGTATGTTGGAAATCATGCAAACAATCTTCAGTTACTATTGGGTACAAGAAAGCCACTGTCTTCTATATCATTTGAAAGTCACACTGAACATCTTCATCGGCTTGAAGATCSRGATTCCACYAAATTGCTAGAGGCACTTGCACCTGGGAAATTCCAAGSGGATGAAGCAAAAACCCTTGGAGAAAGATGTCGTGGTATTCCTTTGTTGATTAAGCTTGCTGCTGCAAGGGTCAAAAATGGCTATAAACCTTCAAAGCTTGCTGAAGATTTAAGGTCAAGRCCTTATGAAGTTTTCAAGCACAAAGGTGATGACATCCAAGATTACTTGCTCARCTCAATYAGAGTTTTCCTTGACAGTCTGAATAGAGAATTGTTATTATCTCTTGTTARACTGTCAAACTTCCCTAATGATTTCATTGAGGAWMAGATTGGYGAAGTGTACAAAGGGGACTGGTCAGACRCACTGTGCTCTCTCCGTGCAAATGGMCTTGTTCATCTGGAATGTGAGCATTATAGTCTTCATCCTTTGCTGCAGACATTCTGTAGAGAGGAGCAAGATCGTATGGGATGTGCTGAAGAAGGAACGCAAGCCAKACGAGCTTTYACCCTTCACTACTTGAAGAAGCTTGAAAWCATCTGTAGAAAGTTTGTCAGCAAAGACTTCCAACTTGCCTTAAAGGTGTTTGAACATGACAGAATGAATATCCAACAAGCTCTGGAGAATTCAATCAAGTTCCAATGCAAAGACATCGAAGAAAGTTGCATTAATGCATGCAACAACAGTGTAAATTTTCTAGGCAAAATCATGCCRCCAAGACAATGCCTGGAGATCTACCATCGTCTGTATGACATGGCAAGTTCGCAAAAAAACACTAGACAAATGGCCGAGTGTTTGGCCTCTCTTGGGTTTAGGCATTTATGTGATGGAAATCATCGAACATTCTCCAAAGAGGCAATTGAGTCTTTTGAAGAAGCATACAAACTTTTTAAGATTGTGAGCAAGAGCAAGAGAAAGAGCGAGGCATTTGCACATTGCCAGAGTAAATTAGGACTGTGCTGCATTGCCAATGGGGAGCGACAAAAGGGGAAGAAATTGATGCAAGATGCTGTTGACTTACGCCAAGAGCTGGGTGATCAAGTGTATCTAGCAGCCAGCCACTGCGACAGAGCAAGTACGTTTTTCCATGGTAACATGGGTGGTGGTTATGACGATGATATATGTTGATTATAGATGGTTATGATTATGGTGGTAAATGTGAAAATTTGTATTCCATATCAAAAAAATCCTACAATTGAATAATTCATAATATTTATGTAATTTTATCTTATTTTTTACCAGTTGCTGCTCGTTTGATCAATGAGCATTCCCGGGCCATCACAATACTCAAAGAAGAATGCTACATAAACTACTATGAAAACTTAGGGGACCACCCTTGGGTAGCCACTGTTCTCAACTACATCTCAGATTCGTATAGAGTCCTGGGAAAACTCGAAGATGCAATAGAGTACAGCAAGAAGTCATTGGATATACGCCAGAGAACACTTGGTGATCACCAAGACACAGCAAGATCGTACGTCGATCTTGCTGAACTTCTTCTCAAGAAAGGTAGGGATCATGAGGCTTTAGAGAATTACGAAAGCGCTCTGTCAATACAAGAAAAAGTACTAGGAGCTCACAATGAAACTGAGGCATCTTGCCAAGCCATTGCTGATATCATGGGTAAATTAAAGTTAGAGGCAGAGCAAAATATGAGGAAACGCGCCGACTCTTGTCGTGATGACCTCAACAAGCGAGAGATGTACAAAACACAACTTTCTCAAAATCAGAAAGAAAGAGCCGACTCACACTTGAAGGAAGAAAAGTTGAAGTGGACATTTAAAATAGCAATTGTAGTTGTTCTGCCTGTTGCATTTGTAATATGTATATTAATTAGTTCATTTTAATATAGCTAAAACTGTTGATAGACTTCACAGCTCATAATGATATGATAGTTAGGTTTTTATAACGTTCGACGGAAGACCGACGGTCAAAACCGTCTGCCTCCCAGACCATTATTTCGGGCCTGACACCACAAGCATTTGCAGGATGGACAGTCCATGTCACCCAGGCTGTCCCAGGCGCTATACTCTCCCCAATACCATCACAATTAATAGACATCAGACTTCAGGATACGCAATTCATTCATCTGTAATATAGATAGCAGGAGCACTAAGAAAACATGGTAGTATGAGCGTTTTTTCATTGTCTTTTCCTGAATAACTTGTGATTTTACCCTAGGCAAAAAAAAACAGCAATAGTATTGTAAGAAGAAAAGTCATCAGGCGCCGGATTTGTGAAGGGTGAATAGTGTTAATTATATCCATCAATATAAATCCTTATCCAGCCTATAAAGTCCATCGATATTGATTTTTCTCTGCATTTTCTTGACATTAAACTTTTTATACATTTTATCATTGGAACTGGTTTAATTTGATGACAATATTTGTTGTGCAATCTCTCAGGGGTTAAAAACCAGTTAGCTACGCCCATTTTTCAAGACTTCCGGGATCTTTTAGGGGTATTTTTGAAAATTTCCGCGACGAGCATCCCCAGTACTTTTACCCCGAGTCCTCCCCTCCCTCCCCCGGGGCCTTTTGGTCATTCGGGAAACTTTTCAAAGTAACCCAACCCTAATGGACATCCTCTTCGTTAGAAAATCCGAATTTCCAAGAAGCTTTATATTCAGTGCATTGATTCTCAATGTCAGCTCAAAAAAGAAGTTACCGTAAGGTCATCGTAGTTTCTATAGGTCAATAAGTAACTTTACATTGCAGCCTAAGAACAGTAGATCGTACTATTTATCATATGACCCGTATTTCGGCCCTACGCGCGCTCTCACTGWAACCTTTGTAAAATGCTCACGTGATGGGGTCCGTACGCCTTTTCGCGACTGGTCCGTACAAACCCGTATTTTCCCGGCTTGAAGTTCCGCGCGCTTTTATTTATTTTTTTACATTAAAAAACGCTGTCATATGATAAAATGCTTATTGACTGAGTTAGGTCGGGCCGTACGGGAAAATATTTGGCTCTCGCTGCGCTCGGTCCGTACGGCATAACCTCGAGCCAAATATTTTCCCGTACGGCCCTCCCACTCAGTCAATAAGTACATATTTTATCCGACCACTTCTATCCAATAAGAGTGTTTCCTATAGTTTTCCAAAGCAAGGCCATTGGTTAAAAATAACGTCTTTGTTTCATCGGCAACCCCAAGGATATGAATATGGAGCCATATGCGACATGCCGTACGCTTTTTTATCAAATATGTATTTTTTTGTGTGTGTCTTGGGACAGGGTAATATTTTCGTAAGAAATACCGTAGAAATAGTAGAAATAACGTTTCACTGTAACAGGATTAACGTGTAGTCAGTATAACTACAGTTTTGATGGTTGCGGCGTAGATACCGATTCCTTAATATTTTTCCGATTTGTCTTGAACAGGGTATGGATTTTTAATTTCTAGTGTCTTAAACAGGGTCAGGGTTTTAGACCGCTGGAGGCACGTACCTACCCCCGGGGGCGTCATTCAATATTTTATCGGCTTGTATCACTTCCCGATGATATTGTTTTTTTGTGTGTATCTTGGACAGAGTAATATTTTTATAAGAAATACCGTAGAAATAGTAGAAATACCGTTTCACTGTACGAGGATTAAAAACTCCCCGGGGGCATATTACGGGAATATATATATTAGCATATTATGCAAATAAATGTTTCTATATAACGGAAAATTTTATGCAATTTATTCATTATGTGTTTTATTTATTAAATATTTATTTTAAAATAATACATGATTTCATAACGGAATTTAAGCAAGTAATTACTCGCATAAATTCCTTCACTCCCTTACGGAATTTAAGGAAGTGTTTTCTCGCATAAATTTCTTTACTCCCATACGGAATTTAACCAACTTTTTTCTCGCATAAATTCTTTGACTTGCATACGGAATTTAAGCAAGTATTTTCTCGCATAAATTTCTTTGACTTGCATACGGAATTTAACCAACTATTTTCTCGCATAAATTCCTTCACTCCCATATGGAATTGAAGCAAGTACTTTCTCGCATAAATTCCTTATTACGTGGGCTTCCTATGGAAGTTCAGTATGACGAGTTTTGTATATACATGTATATATAGAAAAATGTAAAAATAATTGTCTTGGCCAACTACCACGTCTAGCTACAAGGATATATATATATATATATATTGACAGTTAGTGCCTATAGTAGGCATTGAAATATGTGATAATTATTTGATTGTCCAA